TCTTCCTATTCGAATGTGTTTACGCCTTATATGTTTACACATTATCTGGATATATTAATACAATTTTGTTTATGACGGTCAAAAAATAAATATAATATCGTAACAAGTTAGACATTACGAGTCAGCCAAAATGTTTTTATTAGAGTCTACAATGAAATATCATTGAAATCAAAATATTAACATGACAAAAACACAAGTTTTGTAGAAGAGCAAAAACATACTGAACACGTAAATACGAAAATACTTAGTGCGTGCACAATAATTGTAATACTTTGCAATTCGTCTTTTTTAAACCGTTTTTCCCCTATAAAATTGCTTCGTGCTCGAAATTTTAAAACGACTGCAGTGCTAAGGGCATTACATTTCGTCTTCGGGGCGGCGAAGAGCACGCGAATTAAGAAAAAACGGAGGTTTGATAGAGGATAGATAAATGAGCGAGACGTGCGATACGAAAAAATCGTGTGTAATTAAACAGAAGTGAAGATATTTCACTTCCAAGAGAAACATATGTATGCGTATCGCTCAAGCACACATGCATACAAAAAGGATGATCACGATACGGGCTTCATCTATATGTTTTCTTTTTCCAGTTACGTACATCGCTTCGCATGGTATACTGTATTATACTCATATTTAAAATAACCTTTTGGTTCGCTTATTCGTAGGCTGCGAATACAATATGAAACGTACGTGTGATATAGAAACGCGAAGATAAAAATAATAAATAAAAGTTACAATTTGGCGCGGTGTTCTACTACTATTATTATGGTAATCGTCGTTAACCGAGTTAAAAATGGGAAAGATCGTATTAGGTATCGCACGATTCACCCTACTGATGTTTATACATCAGCCGTTAGTTGGTTTTGCATACCGTTTTGTATGAAAACGTTTTAGATTAAGAGAGTTGCACACTCATACACAAATATTTCGGGAAGCGTTTTATGGTTTTTAAGGACTATGATAACAGCAATTGTTAACAAATGATGGATAATTTTATTTCTAATATATTTTATATGGTTGAAAACTATTGAATGTGATGTGCGGGTATAAAAATATAAATATACATTTCCTTACATTTTAAAGAGTTTTAAATCCTAAATCCCCTTACCCTATGTGTTTACGCGCCTGAGCTATGATTTTAATTCTACTCCACGGAAATAAGGCGTTATCACGTTCGGACGAAAATGTTATTGAAATATAGTATTCCATCGCGGCCGAGACAAAGAAAATAATAATTTTATGTTCACAATATTATATTAATGAATGAGTAGTATTCCGTCCTTCCGTGCACTACAGCAAAGGGTGATTTGATAAATGTGTCGAATTTTACGGTTTGGACACCACCGGGAACACCGTGTTTTTCGTTAACACAAAAGGCGACAGCGCATTCAAAGAGGGTGACAAACACAGGCAGCCCATAAAACAGTATATATCATAGATGACACGTACAACGCATGTAAATCAGTTTATCAATATAATAATTATTACAGAAACCACGCGTGCAGTATATAATATATATTATTACACTTTGCAAAATTGATTTAATGACTGTGTAAATTTAAATCTATAAACTCACATACAGCCACTGGAAATAGCTGGAGGGTTTAAGAATATATTATATAGAAGCGTACGTCTTTATTAGAGCATTTTTTACAAACACACGTTTTTCCGTAGACGAGATAACCAACATACGGTTTAACATTTTTCAGACGATGGTTCAAGAATAGAAAACCCAACCCCCAACTAACGCAAATTGTGCGTTCATCAATACACTGTTTATGAAAATTATATGTAATTATTCTAAACACCTGCCTGACTATTTACATTTTTTTTACAGTAAATATTTGATTATCGAGTCATCTTTAACCATAAACATAAATTGTTATGCTTATGGTTAAAGATTATTATCATTGAATAATAATAGTTTTCAGTTGTCCCATAATTATTGTTCTCAGAAGAAAAACAAAAAATCACCCCGTATATCCTAGTCGCATTTTTTGTCAACTATCGTTAAACACGTGTGAGTATCATAAGAGAAGACTATTATAGTCGAAAATATTAAATTATTTTTCACTCTAATTATCTTACGTCCACGACGACGCAGTGACAGCGCTGCTTATATGATAAAGTTGTAATCGTGTTTAAATCTGCACATGATTGCTATTATTTTATTTACGTTGACGTATAGGTACCACGTGTTGCGTAACCGTGATACCAGAAGAATGCGCCGAATAGGCATTTGCCATTCGCCCGCGTGCGCTCGTCACAAAACAAAATGTGCAGGGCTTGTCGTCTACTGATGTGACGACGTCTTCCAGTGTTTTCACTATATGATATTTTACGGAGGACATTTATTTATTTATTTTTTTTTTTGTTGCTGATAGACAATACATAATAATTTGTAGTTGGTTAAAAATTATCCGTATTTTTCTTGTTCATAATTCGTTACTCGAATCCAAAGTAATATACACTTATATTAAACACCGAAAAATATTGTGAATTATATTTGTAAATGTGACGGTCCATGCCCATATACGATTCAATCCTCACGCCTGGCGTGTATGCCGTTGCACGCTTTTAACCCAACTACGTGTTCGGCTATACAAGTCTCTTCCTCTCTCTATGAGAATTTTTATTTTCAAAGTTTTCACGACAGCTATGTCAAAATTATGATTGACTCGATATCACTTTTTGTTTAGGTAACCCATGCAAGCCAAATAAGTTTTTAACCATTTGATACTGATTTGTTATGAATCAACCGTTTAATTAGATTCAGCATATCTTATTGTGAAAAAGGGACACAAAATCGTGTTTTATGTATGTGATGGTGGTCAGTGGCGTATTTAGGAATTTTGCTAGGGGGGGGGGGATGAAATATATAATAATACATCCTAACACCCATAAATTCGTACATAATATACATTTTTAAAATCCCCTAACTTGTTACCTATTGAGGTTAGTGTGGATCAAGGCAAAATAAGAATTAATCTTTATAATTACCTCATCATTTTCCAAACAAATTTTTTTATTTGTACTAAAATAAGAAAATAAAGTTTTTTTTTGTTTTTGAGTATTACTCATATTGTCTTAAAACTTCACGGTTACAACTTACAAGACGCAAAAAATAAAGTCGAACAATAGTCAATTCGGCAGTAAGTCAGTACTCCGAATGGCGCGGCGTCGCTATCCGTCAACGTCCAACGACCGTACATATCTACTTTTAACGAATCACGATATCATACGATAAAATATATATATATATATATAGCTATACATTAACCATAAATCTACTAGTAACAAATTTTCTAAAAATAAACCCGCCCGGCCGCCCTATGGTTAATCCACGGTCTTCATGGTCATTTTGTTTTGTTTACCGATTGCTTATCGGGTTTATTATAAACACTCTTGCATGAAAAATAATTCGCAGAAACGTACAAAATACAGTACACCATAATATAGGTATAGTTTTTGTTGCCTGATAGTCGTACATGCCGCCAACGATAAACGATTAGTGGCGATTAGTATATCAGACTATCAGAGCGGTACAATTACCACGACTAGAACATTTAGAAAACAGAAAACATACATGCTTGAAAGTAATATCATATTAAGAATATTAGAGAAAATGAGACAACTTATAGCTACCTAGGAAAAAAAAAGGTCAAGGGGGGATCTATCCCCCATATCCCCCCCCCGTAAACACGCCACTGATGGTGGTGCCAAAACCGAAAAAATATTTTTTTTTCTTTGACATAAACTCACCATCATAATAAAACATTTGAATGTTTATAATTCCAGTAAAACACGATATCGATATAGTTGCATACGGTCTAATCATGCACATAGATGTGAGATTAAGATTAAAAAATCTCCTACACATGTGAAAATGATATTATAAGAGTATATTTGAGTACGTGATTTGAGGAGGAAGAAAAAAGAAAGATGAATGAGGGAGATGGCTGGATGTGTAACTTAATATATATATATATATATATGTAATTATAGCCATATGGGTACCTCACCACTAATACCGAGCCACAAATATTTAGATACACGAACAATATTATACCTATACAATTCGTAACAGTCATTCTCCACTCTTTCCCGAAAAGAATTCATTTATTATGCTTTAAAAATTGGCACCTTAAGGTTGATGGCCAGTTTAGACCTTGCGTGTCTGTAAGGATAATGATTACTTGCATTTCCACCAGTCGACCCTGCGTCGCCAATGGTTATATAAAAGTCACAAATTATTTTTGTAGATGTATAAATATATTTTATTTCCATACACTGATTTCACTAGTGATGGGTCGACCCTGATTTTTAAAATCAATATCGAACTTTGAAATACTTTTCCGAACCCAAACCTAACCGAAACTTTATATATTTTACTGAACCGAATATAATTGAGAAAAATGTCAAATATTTTTGCAATAAAGTGCAGGTTAAACTAATTTTTCATCAAATGTTTATGACAGTGCAATAGTATGATATAAAAATTCACAATACGTAGAAATATAGAATGTAACCATGTCTTATATTAACAAAACAGTCGCGAAAGCGGAATAATTCTATAGGTTTTCTCAAAATAAATGTTTCCTGTTATAATAAATATAACAAAAATAAAAATTACTATTGGTACGTAGTGCTCAATACTTATTCATTACAATACTAAAATTTTTACCAATTTCAAAAATAACTTTTGAAGAATTATACGTTTTTTTTTTCAAATTCATTATTTGGTCTTCAAAATGTTATGGCCAGTAAGTTTGGTTCGACAAAAAAGTTTGATCTTCGAACAATATCAGATGCTTGATAATTCGGGTCGAACTTTTTTCTTACAGTTCGAATTTTGAATCTGTAGTTAATCTATTTTTCAATAAATCATATTTTAACCAACAATTAACGATCTCTACAATCACGCTAGATCAATCGACCCTGCCTCTTTCCCGACGGCTTTTTGAATTTTTGCGATACGTTATATGCACAATATAAGTTACCTGATACGTTTTGTAAGCATAGCGTCAGGGCGAGCATGGTGAAGCCAGAGGCTGCGGCCGTGCCGAGGACGGGTGAGGCGTCGGACGTGGCCGCGCCGCAGACGACGGCCACGTACAAGAACGTGGCCAGACACTCGGCCATGACGGACCGCCACAGCTGCAGCGTACGAAGTTCGGCCTGCATGGGCATCAGTTTGGGCCTGGCGTCGGCCCGCCACCGCCGGCCGCCCGAGCTCGCGGGCCACCTGTTCCGTTCCAAGCGCTCGATGGCCTCCAGCATCATGTTCAAGTGATGGTCCAGATCGGCACCGTCATCCTTGCGTTTCATCGCGCCGCGGTCTGGCTATCTGGGGCCGGTAGGCGAATTACAGTGCTGCTGGACGTGCGACGGGAAAACGGTCTGCAGTCGGAACAGCGGTACAACGCACACGCACACCGTGCAAACGTATGATGTGCCGTGCGAGCGCCACACAGCGGACGATTGAACCGACTGCAGTAGCACGGCGGCGACGGCGGCGTCGGTGGCAGGTGGTCGCGTCGAACGTGCCGGCCCGAAAAATAAGCAGAAGGTTGGAGGTGGCGGCGGGCGGTTCCGAGGGGCAGGAGAGGAAGAGCTCGACAATGGGTCGCGTTCACCCTGCACGCATTACAATATCATTATTTCGGTTTTTTTTTTTTTTTTTCTGTCCAAGGTGGTACGGGGGAGTGCGCCTCTGCCCTGGGTTCTTTCTGCAACGCACGAGTTATTATGACGACCGAGCCGCGAGCACCTTGCCGCCGCGTTCGCAACATTCAACAGATGAACCAGTTTAGTGAATTTTCGTTGTTATTATTTAAACATCAACGCACCTCCCCCCCTCCCCGGAAGCATATTCGACAACTAGTATCACGTATGAGTTGTACCTTTTCCGAAATTAACACGGTAATCGTTAATTAATAAACCAAGTTATGTGCTCACGAACTGTGCACGCGCCGCCATTAACGTGAATAATCGTACTACGGGTACGCGTGTCCGCATAATAATTCTGTACGATTCCATCTGTACATCCTGAGGCGGAGACGAGTATAGTAGATCTAACCGCCGCTCATCTATATTATCCGGACCGGGAACAGCAAACGTTCAGAAGTTATCGGTATTAACACTCGTCGGTCGCGAACTAGTAGCGATCGACCGATCGACCTTTGAGAAAGCAAATGTAATTATCTACGAAGACTCAAAATTTTCAAATAGTAATTCGTTTTTCTGTTTAGATTGAACACTAGTTTCGGTAGAGCTACGAAACCACAATTGTTCGTCGGACGAGACGTGTACGAAGTACATTCCGTGAATATCGTGTACGCACGCCAAGTAGTATAACTCGTAACAAGTATTGTTTACACATCACTTGTTCGGACAATAAAATAATATGTGTATATGGTTTGTGGGATTTCAGAAGGGTTTCGGTGGTGATACTGGCACACACGATTATTGGTAGTAAAAACCGAGTGTAATTATTCGGATTTAGCAGAAATCGATTTACGTTTTGTCAAAAATGCGGGGAACACGAAACAGAAAAAAAAAAAACCCCGTGCAAACCACTACTCGTATGTTGTGATTTTTACGCGGTAATGGAAATAATAGTAACGGCCAGCAATGGTTGTTGCGCGCGCAAGACGACGGTCTAATGATATATTACACGGTAGGAGAGACGCGCACCGTCGGACCGACACAACAGCCGTCGCCGATGCCGTCTTGTGACGCGCGGCGGCAGCTGAAACGGCGCGAGCATAATTTCGTGGCAAATCCAGTTGTTCGTGTTTACAGCGGGCGCGCAACGATCGGGGGGGGGGGGGGGGCGCCGGAGGGGGAGAGACAAATAATAATAATAACGGAGTGCATAAAGGAACGCGAGACACACGCGTTCACGCGCACACATGTTGTACCGCCGAAACACACTCTTTCGCCCCCGTTTTGTGCTGTACAAAAATCCGGGATCTTCTCTCTTCCCTTCTCCGGGTCCTCTTTCTTTGTTTCGCGCGCGTCTGTGTACCCTTTGTCCGACGACGAAAATCTTTTCGAACCGATCGATGTTCCGCGTACGCGCTCTCAATGAATAGTCGACGGGCCAACACGGTATCCGATAATGTATAGTTATTGCTGCTGCTGCTGCATACTTCGCGTTCGCAAACAGCTGATATTTTTAATAATAATATACGTGTTTATATATATATGTAAGTATGAAGGTACAACTGTAAGATACGATTTATAATATAATGCCCATACGTGAAAGACGCACGTAATATATATTACAGACGTTCATCACGACTCCCCTTAGTTCGTCCTATTTTTTTCTTCCTGCTCTTTCCACAAGTCTTTCGACTTGAAATAACGTCTGTCACCATCCCCTCAACCACCCGCTCGAGGCATGACGGATGTACGCGTGGCAACGATTTCTATAAACCACCGTACCACTCGTTTTAGATCCTCCGTGGCCCGCGTGTATAAATAAAGAAAACTGATCGCGTGCGCTTGGAAATTGTAAACAATTATTGTGTGTGTGTGCGGAAAACCACTGAATGAAATATATACACGTAAAACGTTTCCAATACTCTGTTGGTGTACATTCGAAAACGCCAAAACTTATCGCGTCATATGCAAACCTATGACGTAATCAGAAAACGGCTGTTAATGAATTGGTTCCTGTATAAAAAAAAGATATTTTATTTGGTTAAGCTAAATATTGGTACCAAACCTTTCAGTACTAAACGAAAGCTAATAATTAGCAAGAATTCGCAAGTCTATTCTTAGAATTTTCAAGTTAACCGAACGTCCAGTAAGAGCTTACAAAGTTACGAAGTTGGGCCACCCAAGTTGTTATAAAACTTTTAAAATTATACCAAATGATAACTTTTAATTCGCAAGTATTCACAAATCTATTCTTAAAATTTGCAAGTCATTACAAGGTGACTGCTAACTTTTAAAGTTGTGAAGTTGGCGTGATGTTTTGACCTTAAATTTCAAATTGAGTGTCGAACAAAATCTTATGATCATATGTATACAATTTATATTATTTATAAATATTTATACTATAAATTAATATTTATCCGTATGTTTCTTATGCTTTCCTAAACTACTAAGCTGATTTTGATGAAATTTGATACAAAAATTGATTAGACCTTGGAGAAAAACATAGGATGCCTTTTATTGCGAAAAAATGTAGAAGCAAGAATCAGTACACTTGATAAGACCCGACCGAGCAATTATTATTTTTTTGTTGCTATAAAAATTGAAAAAACGGAATAGAACCTACTATCACATGCCTCAATGTGCACCTAGTGTGTGTGTGGATTAAATTTGGAAAATGCATGCTTCTTACTTGGACAGTTTTATGTGGCCTGCTCATGCGTCGGAAACATTGATTTATTTATATACACACCAGGAGAAAAAAACAAAAAATATTGTGAATCTAAATGCATTTCAATGATTAGCTTTCAATCGAAAACTTGAACTGTCACTCTTTGCTCGATAAAACGAATAAAAATACATTATGTTCCGATATAAATTGAATATTGTTTTAACGATATTATTATTTCTTTAAATTTAGTAAATGACATAGCAATGTGTAATGGGTATAGTATTTATTTATTTTATATCAACCTATTATAAAACATTACAATTTATTATTTCAACCGTTATTTCGGATGATTTACACTTAAAAAGCTTCTACAGCCAATAACATCCAAAAGGAATTGAACACTCACAATTTTCTTACCGGGTAACGCCGGGTAATTCAACTATAAATAAATAAAAATCTATTTTAAAAAATGCAAATACACTGATCATCAATACATCTTAAATAATAATAAATGTATAAACTTAAAATTTTACATACTGGTCTATCCAATACAAACATGTAATAAGACGGGATTTTAAAAAATATTGGCATCGGAAAAGATGGTTCCATAATGCAAAACCTGGTTGATTCAACGTACAACCAAAATAACCATACAAATTCATTTGAAATTTCATTTTATTTGTTTTATAACCATAAGTTACACCATACCAGGCTTTAAATAGCTTAAGGTAATAATCAATTAAAAACTTTGTTCCAGCCAAGACTGTTCCGTTCGAAAGTGGGTAAATCAGCTAGTGCATTATGCATCATTAGCTAATTCTATTCTTGATCCATTGATTTTTCTCTAACATGTATTTATAAAAATTTATAATATCATTTTGAGAAAATAGTATTTTCTTACATCAAAATTAATATATCTTTTAAATTATAATAAATAAAGAAGTAGTATGAACATAATTTATAGAAAATTATATTTTTTTAAAAACACATGTAACAAATTTAAATTTCCTATCTTTAAATGAAATATACATAAAAATTTGAAATATAACATTAAATTACGAATGAATCAATAAACTTAAATATATAATTAAAGTAAATAAATATAATTAATTAAAGACAGAATTTTAATATACCGATTTGAAACTTTTTGTAGCTCATTTTGTTATGCATATATACAAATTCAGGGGATGAAACTAACAAAAATGTATATAGTTAAATAAGAGAAACCCTAATACAAGTATAAATAATTACATGTCTAAAAAGTAATCACATTGAAAAATAGAAAATAAAATAAATAATAAATTACTAATGTAGTAGTATACATTAGTAATTTATTACATTTGATACTTGGCATCATATGCATAAGAAATAAAAAACTAATAGTAATACCATTTTTATTTATAAGACTATAAATAATACTATAATTATACTTAACAGAAACTAATTATCCAAAAAAGTTATGGTTATTACTCAAATAACTGACAACAATAAATGTATAATTATAAAGCATAATAAAATTATTACAAAATATACTTCCGTAGAGAATCTAAAATTAATGATAAATTAATTAGGGGTGGGCCGATCCTAGAACCGATGGTATCGGTTGGTATCGGCCGATATTGGTGGTATCGGAAATATCGGTATCGGTTTATTTTCAAAACCGATATTTGAACCGATACCGCAAAAACTACTTGTGATTATAATATCGGGTATCGGTTTTATCGATTTGTGGTATCGGATTAATTTTAATATCGGTTCATGGTTTTGCCAAAAAAGTTGATTTTTTTATGTAATATATTAAAAATTAACTTAGTTTTTACTTGTGATTATAATATCGGGTATCGGTTTTATATCGATATATCGAGTATCGGTAAAAAGTGGTATCAGCCCATCCCTAAAAATAATGATCGAGTATAATCAATAAAAATAACTAGTATAATAACGAAGGTTTCTTTCATTTTCGTGACTTTTACAACAGTACCTTTAGATACAGTGAATATAATATATATATAAATATGTACCAACACCCTATTGCCATTATTATTTGGCTATAATAATGGTAATTTTGGACAGCATTAGAAATTAAATCAATAAGACTGAAGTCTGTTTTAAAATGTTTTAATTTTTTTCAAAAAAGGCTTATTAATATATTCGATATAATTTTTAATGGTTAATAAAAAGTCAAACATCACAAATTACAAGTAAAAATGTTGTTGGCAATACAAAATTTTTATGATACAAGTGATATTATGGCAGGGGCGTATTTTAGGGGGCGAAGGAGACGATCGCCCCACTCA